GGCGGGGGGTACAAATATCATGGCCACACAGGAACTGAATCGCTCGATACAACGTCCCATGATGTTCGTACCCTAGCGATATAATTACCATAGGTACATGATATTCGTAACCTTGGGGGTATAATTATCATTGATATAGCTGATACGAGCTTCTATGAATCATAGAATCTATGATGATGAAGAACCTTTGGAGGGGACCATGATATTTCGATCCACCCAATGTGGAACGTACGACCCCTAACGGGACACGACGTCCCGTTCCGTCCCACTGCTCGTCACTTTTTTGCTCAGATCGCCGCCTCGGTTGTGAATGAAGCGCGCGATGTTGTCGGCTGTCCGTCCCGTGCGACCAGCCGCCCCGAGTCGTTATGGCCGAGACGTTAATATTTTTTGACGTATCTCGGCGAAAAAGTTGAGGTTAGGGGACCGAAATAAATACTTTTTGGACGCTGATTGGCTCGGCAGCAGGCGCCAGGTCTGGTCGCAGGTCAGACGGGGAAACGTATAACCAGTAGAACACGCAGACGGTTTAGAGAAATGCGCTTCGTTCAAGCGAGACACGACGCTGCCGCAGGGCTCGAGCCTCTGGCAGCAACCGCCACCCCCTACCCCCCCAGACGCCAAATAAAACCCGGAGGGCAATTATTTACAGGCCCCGCTGCTCCGCGAGAGAGAGCGCGTGAGAGAGAGAGAGAGGGGGGAGAAGGTCTTGGTCCTCCCTCGCGTTCCGATCGATCCCCGCACGCATCGCCCGCCACTGCCGCCGGACTCGTGCGCCCAGTCAGACGCTCGCTGGCTCGCGCTCCCATTTGAAAAAAAAAAAATACCGACCCACCGTAAAAAATAACTCACAAGTTCCACACGCGCGCAGTGTGGTGAACGCACGAGCCAAAAACTACGCCGCGGATTTCAAAACCCCAACTGAAGATCAATTTCTGTCAGACAGGGCGCAGAGTGGAGGGGACGCCAACGGCCACTACACCGCAGTAAAATATAAAGAGCATATTAACGCTACGCTTCGCCACAACCCGCCGCCCCCGCGAGCAGGAGGTGGTTTGACCCCGTGGCGTTGCAACGCCGCCACCTCGCGGTGGGCGACAGACGGGAGGGCCCGCGCACGGAAGCAGTAAAACAAAAACACATCCTACTCTTCGCTTCCCGCTTCTTCCCGTGCTTGATTATCGGGTGCGTCAATGGAATACCAGATAGGGCGGCCCGGGGGCCACAGCGAGTCATTTAGCACCGTGCCAAGCAGCGCCGCTGGCAGCCCGGCAGTCGTGCCCCGCCACCGTGCCTGACCTAAATCACACCCGCAAACTTCCGCGCACGAATAAGTCGCACCGAGGAGTAAAACCACCGCGACCCCGCGCCTATCCCTCCTGCTCTTTGCGAGTTGTGTGCTCGGCGCGTTTTTGGGCGCTGGCGCTGCCCGCGTCCTCCTCCCCCGCTGGAGGGGCGCGCAGCTCCAACCCCAGGCCGCCCCGCAGCGCGATCCGCGTGACGTCAGCGGCCGCCCAATCGATACAATCCGAGGAGCGCGCCGAGCGAAGACTGTCGTCCGCGAGGGGCTGCGGCCGGGAGCATCCCGACGAGCAGCGGGGCGAGCCCGACAGAGATAGGGAGCATCCCGACGAGCAGCGGGGAGAGCCAGACAGAGATAGGGAGCATCCCGACGAGCAGCGGGGAGAGCCAGACAGACTGGGAGCATCCCTCCCGCGGCGCGCCGAGCATCGCCAGACACGTTCCACAACGCACCATCTGCCGTTTGGGACGCGAGGAGGGCCAGCCAGCAGCCGGCCAGGCACCCGGCACTCGGCACCCCGCCCGACCACAACGTGCAGAGATCCCGATCAGGATTCGGGATCCGGTCGACCGAACGGCACGTACGGGGACGTGGCCAGGACGACGA